AATTGGATGAATTTGTAGTTACAAGAGCGGTATATAAAACTTCGTATCCTCGGTAGATTATGCGCTCCCACAGGGCCACAGCCATCGTAGCTCCTGTTGCAATACGATCCTCCCATCCTTATCTGTCGCGTGTCATGCAACGTTTCCTTTTTGCCGGTCTCCCAGTCACCTGTTGCGTGGCCCAGATCCCTGTTTCTATACTCACCTCCGAAAGCGCTCGTATACCATGCATGATGCTCATGGTAACAAGGACGAGCTACACACCCGTTCTACATCTTATCATTCTTACATTAATTAATGACAAAAGTCCGAAAATAGGACGGAACATGGATCGGAGGTCGACGGGTGTGAGACGGAAACGGGAGAGAATCCTCTTGTCCATATTATCAGCATCTTGTATTTTGGACAGGATGGACCCAAAAATATATTCTGTTCACAAAGTAGCCCACACTCACTCCTACTCCCAATTTTCCACCGACCATACCATGTCCAACAGTACCTACAACATACCATATCAGACAGCCTAGCGCCCGCGTCCGTGGCAGGACCCGCGCCCACCATGCGACCGCACGGGAAACCCACGTGGGTTGATCCACGGCTGCGCCCCAGGAGCAGGAGGCCGCTATCCATCAGCCACCGGTCACGCCGTGCAATACCCCGATTTATTTTTGAAACATTCATATGAAACATTTACAACATACGCCTGAAATAGATAAAACACTTGAAACATGCGATTAAAACATGCATGTATAGGCATAGCAACATATGCAACATCCAAATCTACTTTTATAATATCCAGATGAAACACTTGCAACATGAGTATGAAACATATGAAACACTTGAAGCATACGCTTGAAACATGTGGGTAGAGTCATAGCAACATATGCAACATCCAGATGAATACACTTGAAACATATGTTTAAAATATCTGAAACACTTGAAACATAGGCTTGCAACGTACGTATATTGTCATTACAACATACTAGATCTACTTTTGCAATATACAGATAAAACACTTGAAACAACGCCTGAAACACTTGAAACATAGCGTCGTCGATGACCACGGGCTACCTGGTGGGGAACTGCGGTAGCCAGCAAGCTCGAGTCAGGGGGACATCGAGAGCTGCCTAGCGTACACCCAGGCGCATGCCTCTCCTTCCTGCCGTGATGTCTTCGGTCAGCCGCGGTGCACGCCATGGCCACGACGGCGTGAGGTGGATGGGGGCGCGGTGTGGGGCGCAGAGGAGCGCCGGATGGGGGCCGGGTGCGGCGCACCAACGTTGGAGAAGGTCAGCTGGGCTGGAGAAGGCGCGAGGTGGATAGGGGTGGCTAGAGAAGGCGAGCGGCGCGGTGGATGCGCCAGCAGGGGTGCGGGGCAGCGACCGGCGGGGTGCCTCTCGGGCGGCTCGTCCTCGATGCTCGGGACGGCACCGCTCGCGCTCGAAGTTGGAGGCGGAATCTTGCGTCGTAGCCTCGGGGACGGCCGATCACTCTAGATGAGAGGCGCTGAGTGGGTTTTTTCTTTTGCTTTTAGGAGATGAGTCCGGTCCTGCACAGGTGTGGGAGCCGCGTCTGGACGCAGATCACAGGACGGACGTCCATGCCGTATCATTATTGTACCTCCTTCTTAAGAGGTCAGCAATGGCAATTGCAGCGAACTCCCCACTATTAAGCACTAGTGCTACCTACTGCCCCGAGCTCCTAACCGTAAATCGGTGCTCCATGTAGCGCTGCTTATCCCACCGCTCGGCGCAGCTATGCCCCGGCCCACCCTCTATGGCTCCTCCTCTGTCCCTCCCTCATCCTGGACACAACGCTTGGCACGCGTCGGCTTTGGCATAGCTATGCCTTATGTTGACTGTTCCGGTGCCCTGACCTGCACTCAGTGGTCTTGAGTTTATGTTTTCGACCTAAAACAAAACTAAATTATAGGCCCCTATTATATGAACATGATAATTATAATACTCAATACATATGTAAACGAAATGTTACAAATAAACAGTTAACTGTGGAAGCAAAAGTAATATTTAGTGGGGATTGTCGGATTTAATTGAAATCGACCAATTATATTTAGCAATTAAATCAAAGAAAATTTTAAGGCTTGGATTAATGCTAGGTGAAACTCATGATGTGTTAGTAGCAATTAGTGGGACGCTTTAAGGTGGGTTAGTGGTTGATTGGTGAGTTACTAATAACAAACAATTGATTCGCCTGTCACTAGTAACAAATATGGTCTTCATGCCATAATCAACCATGTTGATTAGTGGGTTACTAGTAACAGACAATTTATTTGCCAGTTACTAGTAACATACATAGTGTTCATGACCATTATTAACCACTACAGCTGGCTCTTCGTGTCCCTGCTGGAAGGCTACATAAGGCAGCACTTTCACCTCCTATCTGCGAGCGCATGACACACAACCACGCCTCAACACTTTGCTGTTGTGTTGCTCTCTGTGGTTCCCGTCCCGGTTCCTGCGCGCACAAGAATAGGGAGAGCAGGCCTCCGAAATCGGCGACATTCGGATTGCTTGTTCGTTCATTCTTCTTCCTGCTACTTCCTGACGACTTGGGATGATCAGTACTACAACACTACTGCACGATATCGGGCGAGACTACTACATCAACAACCGCTATGTCAACTAGCGTTGGCTCTGGTGCCGCTGGGTATGCTGTTGCAACCTGTTCTTTGTTTTCTATGATTAAAATCATGATGATTAGTATTATGTACATATTTGTTGCGCTTAGATCACATGTGCACATATCTGATGTCGCAAACGTGTTATTTATATTTTCCTAGATTAAATTGGTATTAAATTTGCCTAAAATTCTATCCTGTCTTTTCATCCTACCACATAGAAACAAGAATGAAATTAACCTAATATGACCAAACGAATTATCAACTGAAACCTCTCTAGATTATGTTGTGCTCTTAGAATATTTTGGATGCATAGGGCTAATTGTTAAAGCAACTTTAAGAGGCTCTCTACACCCTTCCTTATTAATAGGAAAGGAGATTTTAGTGAAAAAATATTTTTTAATATCTTCTTCAATTATATCTCCAAATACTGTCTATGTCTTTTCTAAATTTCTCAATAGCCAAAGACGGAGAACAAGATTATTGGTTTTCTAGAGTATGCACAAGAAATAGAAAAGCCATTGGAGGGTGGAAAGATACAAACAACAAATTTTATTCAAATGACTATCCAAATGATGATTTAGAGAATGAGTTTAAGAAAGAATCTCGGATATACTCTTAGTCAGTTATTTCTTAGCCCTAGCCCATCGAAACAGGAAGTAATAGATAGACTAATTTTTGAACCAAACCTCTAACTAGTTGCTAACCAACTAGTTAGCCAACCTTAACTATTTTAGGCAAACTTTTAGCCCTAGGTAATAACTACTTTAAGCTAATTCAAACACGCTCTTTGAAAACCACAAAAGAAACTCCTCATCACTGGGAATGGTCTAATGTGTGAAACTCAGCCTCTCTTGCCTTCTTAGACATTAATTAATACTCTATCCATCCTGGAATATAACTACGTTTAAATTTTTGTCAGATAGATTACAAACAGTGGCAAAATGTCTAATATGATTTTCATTGAAACTGTTCCTGAATGTGCATGTGGTCTATGTATGACAACGATGTTTGCCGTACATGTCTTCACTCTAAGTAAACGAAGATATGCATGCTGTTATTTTATTGATCCACAGAGGGATAGTATCTTCATCCATTTAACTACTCACTCCATCCCAAATTATAAGTCATTCGAACTTTCTTGGAGAGTTAAATCAGGTCTAAGTCGTGAACTGATCATAGATCAGTTGGTTAGATTCCTTGTGGTGGATCATACCCACCCGAGTTTAAGTCCTCGACTTGGCACATGTGCTCGCATTTTTCTGAATTTATTTCATGATTTAACGGCGCTATGCTTTCAGTGATAAGCGACGTCCCTATCGACAGCGAGATGCTAGTGGTGACTTCGTGAATCTCTAGATTTGCCGGCTCAGTCTTTCGAAGGTGCTCATAGGGGTAGGGTTTGCATACGTGTATTCATAGGGGTGAGTATGTGTACGTGTTGTGGGCGTCTGCATTGTACTATGTAATTCTAAAAAAAAGCAGGTCAAGTCTAACCAAATTTTATATAATAAAATAATAATATTTATGATAATAAGTATCATTAGATTATTCATTAATTATATTTTCATAATATACCTACTTGATGTCATAAATTTTTGTAATTCTTTTTATAATTTTTAGTCAAACATTAGATGCTTTGACACTCTAATAGAGGTGGAATGTCCTATAATTTGGAAACGGAGGGAGTATTAATCAAGCTAGGGAACTTAAAAACATAGCTATATTCTGGGTCTAGTTTTGAACTTCAACAGTAGCTATATCCCGAAAGGCCGAAACTGATGGAGTACAAGTAGTACCAAGCTGGCCTGTTACAGTGCAAATTGCATGAACTTACCTATTTCGTCGACAGCACGGGGTGCAGTGCAGAGCAGATACGAGGGCCTGAGCTGTACACTACTACATTGTGCAGTTGTGCTGATGGTTACGAAGCTATCCAAAGTGATGTTTTGGGGTACTGAGGATCACAAACAAGATTCGTCACGACCGTTGAACGATACATGCCTTGGCAGTGCCAGTGAGGTGCACCGCATCTCGCCCGGGGCTACCTTGTCGAACGAGCCACAAGAAAGGAAAGAGAGAAAGAAACGTTGCGTGCGGCTAGCTCCGTCTGAGTTGATCGTGCGAAAAGTGTGTCCTTCCGCTCGAAATAGCGTCTCCCTCTACCATTACAGACTTTGTCAAGAGATGAAGACCTACCAAAAACGTCTACTAGCTACAGTCTATAATACAGCACGTACCAGCACAGTTCCAGTTCCCATCCAAGGAGAGACTGAGTTCTGCTAGCTGCAAGATCACTCGGCGCACTTCATAGCCATCGACTGGATCCTGCAGCGGCACTAGCTACATGCGCCGAGCAAGCATGCCGAGCGTGCACCGTTCGAGGCTGCTGGCGGCGGGCCGCGCGGCGCCCGACGAAGCCGACATCCGCCTCTGCTCCCTGCTACTGGCCTCGTTCGTGTCGCTGATGCTCCTCTGCGGGGTGCTCTCCCTGCTCTCCCGCGCCAGCGCCTTCCCCACCAAGATCTACGTCATCCTCGGCCCGACGGCGATCATGCTCGTGCTCATCTTCCTCGGCGGGCTTGTCTCGTGGGGGTTCCAGGCTCTGGCCGCCTCGGCACCACCTCAGGCTCCGGCGCCCGCACGCCTGGCACGACGCCTTTGCGCGTGCGGGCTGTCCGACGCGGCGGGCGTCGCCACGCTGCCGGCGTTCCCGTTCCAGCCGGCGCCGGCCCAGCAGCCCGCGGCGGCGAGCGAGGGGGAGCGGCAGCCACCACGCTGGAGCGCCGTGCTGTGCGCGGTGTGCCTCGAGGACGTGCGGGCCGGCGAGATGGTGCGGCAGCTCCCCGCGTGCCGGCACCTCTTCCACGTGGACTGCGTCGACGTGTGGCTGCGCTCGCACCGGACCTGCCCGCTCTGCCGCTGCGAGCTCCCGCGGCGGAAGGCAACCGCGCAGCAGACCGTGGCCGTCACGCCGGCCACGCCGGAAGCGGTGCCGTTGCCGCCTGTTTGAGTGTCACTAACTTCCGCGCCACTTGTTCGGAAAGGGCTGCTTGGCCTGTCAAGTTGTATACAACATTCTTCAATTCCTGAATTTCTTTGGGGGGAATCAATAAGACATGACGATGCGACGGGATTTGATTGATTTGAATCTAGTGTATGGCAGTTTAATTATTTGGATCACTAGAACTAGAAGGTGCCACGGCTATGTCGCAGAATCGAACTGTTTCTAGTCCCGCTTGACGTTTCCATTTTTAAATGAAGGTACGTTTGGTGTCTTCAATCAAGCATATATATGTTCCTATTTCCCAAGGAATGGAGGACCTACTGTAATTCTGTGCAATTAGTTATTTTTTTTTACCTACATTTAATACTCCATGCATATGTCAAAAATTGATGTGATGAAGAAAGAGTGAAAAAACTTGAAATTTGGAGGTGATCTAAATAAGGCTAGAACTAGAAGGTGCCACGGCTATGTCGCAGAATCGAACTGTTTCTAGTCCCGCTTGACGTTTCCATTTTTAAATGAAGGTACGTTTGGTGTCTTCAATCAAGCATATATATGTTCCTATTTCCCAAGGAATGGAGGACCTACTGTAATTCTTTAAGTCAATGTACGTTTTGTTTCGAGCTTCTGGAACCATATGGAATCAGAGGTCGTCACAAATATTTCTATGAACTTCCCTGACATAATATTTTTGTATATGCCATAATATTTCCCTGGCGTGAGTTAGCAGTATGGAATAATTTGTTACCACACATTGCTAATATTACTTTGACACAAGAACATGATGAATTTCAATGAAATGTACGTTCAAATGGACATTTCTCGGTCAAATACCTCTGTATAACGCTAATCCAGTTTGATGTTCTCAATATTAACAAAGAATATGGAAATTAAAGGCCCCTTTAAAACTTGGGATCATCCTTTGGTACCAAAGAAGGGGAGTGATACTGATGAAAGATAATCTAGCTAAGCACAACTGGCAGGGTAGAGAGGATTGTTGCTTGTCACAAGAACGAGTGTTGTTTTGTTCATGCAGTCTGGGCTGTTGTGCAGACAGCTACATGCCTTCCTTATAGCAACTCCAACAGGTTGGCTAAAATTAGTAGCAAAATTCCGTTATTTAGCGATCCTTAAAAAAGAAGGGATCCACAACAGCCTTGCTATTTTACAAAGTTAGATAGCCAGCGCCTGTGGTTGGCTATATATGTCAATCGAAAATTAAGGAATAGCTAGCTTTCTATTTTACAAAGTCAGATAGCACATCTGTTGGAACCTATTTTTGCTATACAAATCGTAAAATAGCCTCCACAACAAGAATAGCCGATCTGTTGGAGTTGCTCTTAACCTTGTATTGTATCCAACGTGTTCGGAAGTTGGTTACATCATTTAAGTAGGGACTTCAAGCCGCTATTCCTATTGGGAGCTACGGTCATTTGTTGGTGGCTTTGGTTATACAGGAATGTCAGGGTCGTATACCCCGGGTATCTCAGGACAACGGATTGCAAAACTGCTGAGGCAGCCCAACCGGCCAAGGCCCACCAGCCACGGTCCGCCTCAGCCACTCTGGCACCAGGTCGTGCAGCACACGGCCCGCCTCAACCTCCTCTTCCTTCCACTACACAGCTCGCAGCCGCTTCGACCTCCCCTGGTCCTAACCGAACGGGAAGGACAGGGACCAGTTAGGGCCATCGAGTGCATCCGCTCTGACTAAGACAGGTACGCTCGACAGGACAAAAAGGACGACAATCCCTTGGGATGCGGGATCCCAGGGCAGGACGCCATCCCTCTGACCGCCTTAGCGCGGACAAGACTACACTGCGAGGCAGCAACTATAGGTACAGCACTACACCGCCCAAGCTTGGCCTGACAAGACGGGCGTACGGATCCACCCACTATGGGATGGGCCTCATGACTTCGAGCCAATCTCTCGGGATCGGCTGAACCGGAGAAAGCCTCGATCCGACTTCTCGAGGTCGAGGTCAACACGGCCACGGTAGGGAGGGCTGACCGTCAACCCGAGACGATCGCTTGCCCCCTCATCGTCGCCACGACGACCTCCAGGCTTCACGGAGCAAGGACGGAGGCTACGCCAAGCCCACGACGCACATGACAATTGGTGAACCACCACCATTCCCACAGTGCCGCCATGGAGCACCATTCCTTGACGTGAGGAACAAGAACGCGGCAACTCCGCATGGACATATCAACAGGAGCGAGGATAAGATACAGGGGACCCACCAGCCAGGGCTCGACAATAACTTCCTCCTCCTGTTGGGCTCTCGACCACTAAGGTCGGAGGAACCCATCTATCTCTGTTGTAACCTAGCCCCGGATCTATATAAGGGAGCCAGGCCTCCTTCTTCTGGGAGGATCGGAGCCCCTACCTCTAGCTTTGTACCTGTAAAACCCTAACTTACGAACCTCCATTGTAAGCCCTCAGAGCACTTGAACCGAGGAACACGAACTCACTACCCTCTGAGACTGACGTAGGCTTTCGCGTCCGAACCAGTATAATTGCCTTATGTCTTGAGTGCTACCATTGTCTTCCTGGAACAGCGCGGCGCTAAAAATTTGCTAGTCGGTCTTTGAAACACCGACAAGGAATGACATAATTTTTGAAAGAAAAGGTGTTTCTTCTCTTTTCCAGGTTATCTTCTCAACTATCCATTGACTTCGTACCTGGGCTATACTCGGTTTTCCATGATTTGGTTGTGCTAGTTTGTCTACAATTAGCGCAGGTGGCCAAGAAATGTTTTTCCCCGGTACATGCATGGGTGGCGATCTAGTATATGCTCATTGATTAATACTAGTGTGTCTATACTTTCTTTAAACTTTTTGTAGGATGTGTGCATACTGATATGCAGAGGCCGGAAGTGCTTTTAAGATGATTGTATCAACTCGACGCAATGATCCTGAAACTTAATAAAAGCTTCATTTATGGAAAAAAATGTTGGATAATTAACCATGGCCGAGGTCCTGATCTACCAAATGTTATCACCTGATGACCACCGTGGACTAAGGGGCTGCTTGGTTCCTGGTATAGTGTCGTTGTCTTTGTCTTACTGAGGCGCCCGTCTGAGCGGGCAAACTAATTTGGCTCCCAGGAGAGCATATTTTTTGGTTCCTGGTATAGTGTCGTTGGCTTTTGTCTTACACATGTTAATTTGTATCAATGATTAAAATTACAGCATATTTTTTCTAGGAGCTATAGCAGAGCTATGACAAATAGTTTGTAAGAAAACCATGAAAAATATGAGTAATTCATTAAAGGACACATGACAATCATCAAATATGATGAACACAAATATGTTTCTAAATGTTCATGAAGTCTAATCTTAATACGATATTATAGCATGATTCATGAAGCTCAAGTGTTCAATTTTCCAAAAGACCAACTTAGTAGCAAAAGTGACAAAATAGCAATAACTTAGCATGAGGTGAATAGCCTATAAAAATTTATTTAAAACTGTGATTTGTATCTAAATATCCACCTTGGCTGTAATAAAAAAAAATAAAAATATCTCTCAAATCAACATTTAAATACTAATATAAGCTATCATGAAAATAAATTTAATATCCATAAATTACGCTATATATATTTTTAAATATCACACTTGAAAGGATCTAAATGGCTAGAGGGGGTGAATAACCTATAAAAATTTCTTTACAAAAGGTAGAACACTAGAGCAGTATGGTTAGTAAAATAACAAGTCCTAACAGGCAATACTTGCACTAGCTCTATCTCATCTAAGCAAGCCCCTATAAAATTCTAGTAGCAATTGAATTCTACACTAATTCACTCCACCACACAAGAGCTACAAGCTAAACAAGACTACTCTAGCTAGCTAAACTAGTGAGCAACTAAACTAGCTACTCTACTATTAAAGCTACAACTAACTAGAGAACTACTAATAATAAGCAACTACCACACAGACAATAGATTATAAATGTAAAGCACAAGTAAGATGGTCAATACCAAACCGGGCAAGAGTAGAACACAATGATTTATCTCTGAGATTTAGTTGTTTGCCGACAACCTACGTCCTCGTTGTGGCGAGTCTTAATGTGTCGATTCACACACTAACTAGCTGCTCAAGCTAGACCCACAACTTGAGTGCCACAAGAATCAAACACAAGAAGCAATCCAATTAGCCACGAGCATTTCACTAGAGTTGCTCTTCGTGATCTCCCGCGGGGTTGAGCACAAGATCCCTTACAATCAACTTGATCATGCGCCAAACAATGACCACAAAGCCTTCAACGATCCTCCAAGCTCCAAGCCTACTAGGTGATGGCAATCACTGAGAGTAACAAAAAAAAAAACCAAAGCCATCACACTCAACTAGTGCCATGAGATGCAAATCTATGATGTAAATGCACTAGGGGCTCTCCAATATCTACCTAAATGTGATCCCAAGTGATGCATGTGAGTGGAGTGTGTTACTCAGCTTTCAAGGGCGTGCACAATGGTGGGGAGTGCCAAGAGATTGGCCAAGGTCGGCCACAAGGTCTGTTTATAGTCCCACTCAAAGTTCCAACATTACCCTCTTCACACAACCTCCATGGATGCACCAGAGACCTCTGCTGAGCACCAGAGAGCCCCAATGGCTAAGAAAATAATAGTCATTAATCCTATCAGGGTGTGGCAGCTCCGGTGAAGCAATGGAGAGCACCGTTGCGTGCAATGCCCATGATCTCACTTGCAGGCTCTCTGTAAGGGACTCTGATGTGACCTCAGATGGCACACCAGAGAGATCCGGTGAACGTTAGCTTGGTTTGTGCATGTTTACATATTCTTTGGTAGAACAGTCCAGCGCCAACTCCTGTGGCCAGACCGGAAAACTCCCGTGAAGACATGTGATTTTTTCCTCGCTCAGCTGAGTCTACACTGGATGTCAATGTGCGACACATCCAGTGCACACCGAAAGTTAAGATGCTCACTCTAAAACTTTACTAACCAAAAGCTCCAGTGCCACACCAGACAGCTCCGATGAGCGCAAAAACAA